GCCAGAAGTCAACAATTCTATCCTTACGCTTCTCAAGGTAACCATGCTCGATGACATCCCACACGTCTTGTTCTTGTAAGTTGACACACATCTTTATCGACCATGATGCATAGTTACTCTTCGTGAGTCACGGGTACTGAAGCGTTATACTCCCCTTCTTTCCGCTCTTTATTGTCATCATATCTCCTTCGATCATTTTATGTGATGACTGTTGGATGATGAAAGTCCCAAATCGACCATAATTCAGGGAATGATCATGGGTTTAATCAAAGAATACTCCCTACATTGGATGAGGCCTTTTGGAGAAGCCCAAAGCAAAGCCATGAGAGCTTGTGCTCAAAGTGGACAATATCAAACCATTGTGGAGAGTTGGGTTCATCTAACATGGTATCAGAGTCATGCCCTAAAACTTTGTCGTGCCAATAGATTGGTAAATCCTCAAATGTCGAACAAAGGACTCCAAAAGAAAAAGGAGTCGAGCCTCGATTAAGGAGAGGCGTACTTTGTTTGAGGGGAGGTGTTGGATGATGAAAGTTCCACATCGGCTATAATTTAGGGAATGATCATGGGTTTAATAAAAAAATACTCTCTTCATTGGATGAGGCGTTTTGGGGAAGCCCAAAGCAAAGCCATGTGAGCTTATGCTCGAAGTGGACAATATCATACCATTGTGAAGAGTCGTGTTCATCTAACATGGTATTGTTCAATAAAAGCCATGTTCCTTCTTTAATTAGGTTGTTTTTGACTCAAACTTCTGAATTCACGCCAATGGAAGAGCTTAATTTGGCCAACTTCGGAGAAGTCTTCACCCACTTTTCTATTTTTGTGTAGTTAGTTTTTCTATTTTTGTAATTAAATTTATTATTTAAACAATTAAACTGAAGGAAAATAATATCTCGAGTCTTCAGCAAATCTCAGAATCTCTCTCACTGTCTCCTTTTACTTCTGCTATTTTTTCTTTCCAAGAAACCTTCCACAAGTGGTATCAGAGCCTCGTTGAAGCAATCGGTAGTATACCATTACAGAAGAGCCAATCTCATCAACAATCAAGTTGAATAGCTCAAGTGGTTAGAGCGTCGACCTAATAACACATAGGTCTCAAGTTCGAGTTGAAGAAATTGCAAAGCGTGAAAACACAACACATCGTGGGGTCCATCTCGAGCAGGCTCGCTCACTCCTCCATGCCGCCACGAAGTGGCTGACGTCGTGATGACGGGCGTCTAGTATCGGGAGGATTGGCTTGCGATCTGTGCCCCCAGAGATGCTGGCGTCGGGAAAGATGGGGATCAAAAGAAGGAGTCAACTAACGGGCAGGTTTTGAAGGAGTCAACTAACGGTAGGCCGATCCAGTGCTCGAATTGTTGGAGCAAGCTCAGATCCACAGAGGTGAAGGTAATCAACGACGACGTCGAACCTGAGAAAGAGCTCAAGCTGTGGGGAGAGTAGCAGCAAAGGAGGCGGCACCAGCTGGAGAGCCATGGGATGAGCAACACGAGCATCGGCAGACCGGGAGAGATGCTGTCGTCGGGAAAGATGGGGATCAAAAGAAGGAGTCAACTAACGGCAGGTTTTGAAGGAGTCAACTAACGGTAGGCTGGATTCCAAATCCACGGAGGTGCAGGTAATCAACGACGACGTCGAACCTGAGAAAGAGCTCAAGCTCGACTCGGAGATTCACGGGACGGTGAAAGTCGTCGAGATCGAAGGGCGCGACACCATCCTGTTCGTCAGCAAGGGAGGCGAGCAATGCAAGCTGACCGACGTCTACTTCATGCCGAAAAGGCCCATGTGGCTCAATTCGAGGAGGATGAGCCATCTCTCTTCACGGTAAGTGCATGCGGCACCAGCTGGGAGAGCCAGTTCAACTGGAGGGACGAGCAACACGAGCATCGACGGATGGATCCTCGACACAGGGACAACAAATCATATGATCGGGGCTAGATCTGCGTTCTCCGAGCTCGACTCGGAGATTCACGGGACGGTGAAAGTCGTCGAGATCGAAGGGCGCGACACCATCATGTTCGTCAGCAAGGGAGGCGAGCACTGCAAGCTGACCGACGCTACTTCATGCCGAAAAGGCCCATGTGGCTCAATTCGAGGAGGATGAGCCATCTCTCTTCACGGTAAGTGCATGCGGCACCAGCTGGGAGAGCCAATTCAACTGGAGGGACGAGCAACACGAGCATCGACGGATGGATCCTCGACACAGGGACAACAAACCATATGATCGGGGCTAGATCTGCGTTCTCCGAGCTCGACTCGGAGATTCACGGGACGGTGAAAGTCGTCGAGATCGAAGGGCGCGACACCATCCTGTTCGTCAAAAAGGGAGGCGAGCACTGCAAGCTGACCGACGTCTACTTCATCCTTCATGCCGAAAAGGCCCATGTGGCTCAATCCAAGGAGGATGAGCCATCTCTCTTCACGGTAAGTGCATGCGGCACCAGCTGGGAGAGCCAATTCAACTGGAGGGACGAGCAACACGAGCATCGACGGATGGATCCTCAACACAGGGGGCAACAAACCATATGATCGGGGCTAGATCTGCGTTCTCCGAGCTCGACTCGGAGATTCACGGGACGGTGAAAGTCGTCGAGATCGAAGGGCGCGACACCATCATGTTCGTCAGCAAGGGAGGCGAGCACTGCAAGCTGACCGACGCTACTTCATGCCGAAAAGGCCCATGTGGCTCAATTCGAGGAGGATGAGCCATCTCTCTTCACGGTAAGTGCATGCGGCACCAGCTGGGAGAGCCAATTCAACTGGAGGGACGAGCAACACGAGCATCGACGGATGGATCCTCGACACAGGGACAACAAACCATATGATCGGGGCTAGATCTGCGTTCTCCGAGCTCGACTCGGAGATTCACGGGACGGTGAAAGTCGTCGAGATCGAAGGGCGCGACACCATCATGTTCGTCAGCAAGGGAGGCGAGCACTGCAAGCTGACCGACGCTACTTCATGCCGAAAAGGCCCATGTGGCTCAATTCGAGGAGGATGAGCCATCTCTCTTCACGGTAAGTGCATGCGGCACCAGCTGGGAGAGCCAATTCAACTGGAGGGACGAGCAACACGAGCATCGACGGATGGATCCTCAACACAGGGGCAACAAACCATATGATCGGGGCTAGATCTGCGTTCTCCGAGCTCGACTCGGAGATTCACGGGACGGTGAAAGTCGTCGAGATCGAAGGGCGCGACACCATCCTGTTCGTCAAAAAGGGAGGCGAGTACTGCAAGCTGACCGACGTCTACTTCATCCTTCATGCCGAAAAGGCCCATGTGGCTCAATCCAAGGAGGATGAGCCATCTCTCTTCACGGTAAGTGCATGTGGCACCAACTGGGAGAGCCAATTCAACTGGAGGGACGAGCAACACGAGCATCGGCGGATGGATCCTCGACACAGGGGCAACAAACCATATGATCGGGGCTAGATCTGCGTTCTCCGAGCTCGACTCGGAGATTCGCGGGACGGTGAAAGTTGTCGAGATCGAAGGGCGCGACACCATCCTGTTCGTCAACAAGGGAGGCGAGCACTGCAAGCTGACCGACGTCTACTTCATCCCGAGACTCAAGGCTAACCTTGTGAGCCTAGGTCAACTCGATGAGACAGGCTGCTTCATTTCCATCGAGCGCGGACTACTCAAAATCTACGATAATCAACGACGCCTGCTTACGCAGGCTCGGCGCACGACAAACTCTTTACATCCTGGAGTTAGAGATAGAGTAACCCATCAGCCTTCCGGCCAAGACCGAAGAGGTATCTTAGAGGTGGCACGCAAGGTACGGGCACTTAAACTTTCTTGCTCTAGAAAAGCTACAGAAGGAGGAGTTGGTGCACGGTTTGCCGCCAATCAGAGGTGTGAACAAGCTGGCAACCCCAGGCGGTAAGAGTCTTCCTCCTGCTAGTCGATGACAAAAGCCGCTTCATGTGGCTGACCCTGCTACAAGCAAAAAGTGAAGCGGCAGGGGTGATTAAGCGCATTAAAGCGCGTGCGGAGGCCGAATGTGCGAAGAAGATACGAGTGCTGCACACAGACCGAGGCAGAGAATTCCCCTCGGCAAGCTTCGGTAAGTACTGTGATGAGATCGGCATACAATGGCACCTAACGACGCCCTACTCCCCCCAACAGAAAGGAGTGGTGGAGCGCCAAAATTAGACCATCGTCGGGACAGCGACGTCATTGTTGGTGACGGCCGGGATGCCTGGGAGAGGCGGTAATGACGACCGTCTATCTCCTCAATCGGTCACCAACTCAAAGCCTCGACGGGAAGACGCCATATGAGGCCTGGTACAACAAAAAGGCAGCGGTACATCATTTTCACGTGTTCGGTTGCATTGCATACATGAAGGTAACACGTCCCCACCTCACCAAGCTCGATCCCAGGGGGCTGAAGGTCGTCTTCATCGACTATGAACCCGAGAGCAAGGCGTACAGATTCATCGGCTCGATCCCAGGGGGTTGAAGGTTGTTTTTTACTCTTGAAACTTCTGAATTCACGCCAATGGAAAGCGTAATTCTAGCTGCCATTTTTTGGCCAACTTGGGAGAAGTCTTCGCCCACTTTTCTATTTTTGTATGGTTAGTTTTTCTATTTTTATAATTAAATTTGTTATTTAAACAATTCAACGGAAGGAAAATAATATATCGAGTCTTCAGCAAATCTCAGTGAATCTCTCTCCCTCTCTCCTTTTACTTCCACTGTCTTTTCTTTCGAAGAAACCTTCGGCCAGTTTTTCGTTGACATTTTCCTCCAAATTGCCAGAGTCAACAGATATCAGAGTCATGCCCTAAAACTTAGTCGTGTCAATAGATTGGTAAATCCTCAAATGTCGAACAAAGGACTTCGAAAGAAAAAGGAGGCGAGCCTTGATTTAAGGGGAGGCGTACTTTGTTCGAGGGGAGGTGTTGGATGATAAAAGTCTCACATCGGCTATAATTTAGGGAATGATCATGGGTTTGTTGAGGTTTATTGGGAGTGAGTCTCACATTGGTTAATTTAGTGGAAGATCATGGGTTTATAAGTGAGGAATACTATCTCCATTGGTATGAGACCTTTCGGGTAAGTCCAAAGCAAAGCCATGAGAGCTTATGCTCAAAGTGGACAAATATCATACCATTGTGGAGAGTCGTGATTCCTAACATGGTATCAGAGCCATGCCCTAAACTTAGGCATGTCGAACAAAGAATTGTGGGCCTCGATTAAGGGGAGGCTATTCGAGAGTTGAGGAATACTACCTCCATTGGTAGGAGGCCTTTTGGGAAAGCCCAAAGCAAAGCCATGAGAGCTTATGCTCAAAGTGGACGTCGTGTTCATCTAACAATGATAACATTCGTTTCGGCATCCTAGCTCTGATAGAGCTTATGCTCAAAGTGGACGTCGTGTTCATCTAACAATGATAACATTCGTTTCGGCATCCTAGCTCTGATACCAAATGTTGGATGTAGTCCTATTTGAGAGTTGAGGAATACTATCTCCATTGGCAGGAGGCCTTTTGGGGAAGCCCAAAGCAAAGCCATGAGAGCTTATGCTCAAAGTGGACAATATCATACCATTGTGAAGAGTCGTGTTCATCGGCCTTTTGGGGCTATTTGAGAGTTGAGGAATACTCTTTTGTATGCTCAAAGTGGACAATATCATACCATTGTGGAGAGTCGTGTTCATCTAACAATGATAACATTCGTTTCGACATCCTAGCTCTGATACCAAATGTTGGATGTAGTCCACTATTGAAATATGTTGAAACAAGTAGGAAGCAATTATGCTTTTCAATTCTCTTTCTTCTTGTGAAAAGAACATACAACACTAACTAGTTTCCTAAACAATTATGCTTTTCAATTCTCTTTCTTCGGGTGAAAAGAACACACAACACTAACTAGTTTCCTAAACTTTCTCCTTAAACACCACTAACAATCTTCCTAATTAAAGCACTAAACTTTATCTACAATTTCGCAACTACTAACAATTCTCCTCAAGTTGCTCTATAAATTAGTAACTTATTCGAGTAAGTCAAGCTTTTTGGCTCAAAAACACAAAGGTGAAAATAAATGATGAATGAAACAATGTAGAGGTTGACTGCTTGAAGATAGCGTTTCCGCAATGAAGCTTAACACATAAGCAAGTTGTGTTCGTATTTGTTGTCTCTATGATCGGAGGATTGGCATCACTTTTTATGAACGGTCTCTAAATATTTTTGATCTATCTAATATTATCTACTCTCTATATTAAACTTTCAAACCATTCTATTTTCTAAGTCCTTATTTGTACAAGCATGAAAATTCTCACACTTCAAATGATCAATGCTATTATTCTTTATATAATCAATCTTTGCACATAAAACATTACCACATTGAGACCTTGGTTGCCACCTGTCATGGTTAGTCAAATACTCTACCATTAACCTAATTACCCCAAGCGGGTTGCCATCTGTGTCCTTGATTTCATGCGTATTTAATCTCATTAAGAGCTTCTTGGTATGCTACCTCTTGGTGTCAACGTTTAGTCAGACGGTTCAATAGGTTGGCTTCTTAGGAAGAAGTATAGTGTCACGACCATGTTTGTTAAAGGCGTGTTGCCCATGATCACATGTGTGTTGCATGCCAAACCTCCTGTGTTGTATCACTTCACTGATTTCCTTCATTGATTTCTTTTGAAAATCTCTCAACCCCGTTTTCTAAAAGACCTTCTATTTAAATAGGGCTAGAGGTTTGAGCATACGTCGTTCAACCGCAGGGAACACGATTTTGAATTAGCTGATTCATTCGGAGCTTAGAGTGAGTGTCGTACAATCGCTTGTAAACGTTCTGAAGAAGTGCAATTGTGACACATTACAATTAACTTTTCCTCTAATAACATATGCATCAGTAATCATTTCGAGTTTTTTTTTCAACAAGTTTAATGCAATAAAGTGTATGATGCATTAATCACATACCCTTAAATGATTGTTCACTCGATCATCTTCTAATTATGCCTTCTTTAAATATACCTAGGTAAACTTTAGTCAAATTAAGGTACTGAAGTGTTATTTCACGCTAACTACTTTTGAACCTTTGAAGACAATATATATGCCAACAATTTTTGGACGTTTGAAAATGATATGTACGCTGACAACTTTTTGACGTTTGAAGACAATATCTACGCTGACAACTTTTAGACATTTGAAAACAATATCTACGCTGACAACTTTTGGACGTTTGAAGACAACATCTACGCTGACAACTTTTAGACGTTTGAAGACAATATCTACGTTGACAACTTTTAGACGTTTGAAGACAATATCTACCTGACAACTTTTAGACGTTTGAAGACAATATCTACCTGACAACTTTTGGACGTTTGATGACAATATCTACGCTGACAACTTTTAGACAATTGAAGACAACATCTACGCTGACAACTTTGGACGTTTGATGACAATATCTAGCTGACAACTTTTAGACGTTTGAAGACAACATCTAAGCTGAAAACTTTTAGACGTTTGAAGACAATATCTACGTTAACAACTTTTGGACGTTTGAAGACAATATCTACTTGACAACTTTTGGACGTTTGATGACAATATCTACGCTGACAACTTCTAGATGTTTGAAGACAATATCTACATTGACAACTTTTAGACATTTGAAAACAATATCTACGCTGACAACTTTTGAACGTTTGAAGAACGATTTAGCTCGAGGTTTGACTTGCTAAACATCAAGGTAAATGTAAATGTTTTTTAAGAACCTAAAAGTAGAGGGAGAGTGAGAAAGCTTACCAACCACTCAATAAATAACCAATATTCCAACATAAGGCTATCAAAAGTAGCATGTAAGTTTCAATCACATTGGGACCCAAAAGACAAGAGGGTTGCTTAAAAAGATAGTCACTCTATCTTCCTGTCTTCTTCAACCCTATTCTATATAGATTTTTTTTTTTTTTTTTTTTAATAATTCTATTTAAAAGAAAAACGTGTGCTTTATTTTATTAACAATTTTTCTATGGGAACCAAGAAAACAAGAAAAAGTGTTTTGAATATTTGGTAACAATTTTTTAATAAAATAAAAAAAAAAAATAATTTTACCCACAACTTTCATGCATTTGTTTCTGAATAAATTTTAAATGGGTAGTTTATTTATTTATTTATTTTTATTATTATTATTTTAACTATTTTAGTATAAATTTGGTTAGAGTTGTCTATTTTTTTTAATTATTTAAAAAAATTCTACTCGGGGCAGATGTTACATTAATAACTAAAATTTCACCAATTTCAAATCACAGTGCTTCACTAGTTTTAGTTACAAGGTCTAATATTTTTAATTTTTGTAATAATCTTAAAAGTATGGTTGAGTTGGATTGTATTTCTGTTTTTTTATTGGTTTGGTCAATTTTTGGACTCATGGCATAATTGGACGACATTTTGCTTCGAACATAAGAGTTGCTAAGAGTAAATTAGGGGAAAAAATAACCCATTATTATATGGAAGATATTTCAGAAAGTTATGAAGTGTAACACCCGAGTTCCAACGAGAATTAATGTTCTCGATTCTTCTTTTTTAAGTCAAAGTTGAAAGATTTTACTGAGATGGCCAAATTTGAGGAGAATGTGGAAGAAAAAACAGTCTTGGGAGAGTCGGTAGAACCTCATAAAAATATAAAATAAACTAGTAGAAAAAAAAAGGGTTCGAGATGAAAAAGAAAGCCAAAATAGGGAAAACGCTCCAATCCAACAAGAGAAGGATGTATTTGACTACGAGTCTTCAAGAAACTCTCACTAGGTAGAGGACCTTCATTTCAGGTCCCCGGTTCGTTCATTTTTCCAATAACAGAGAAAGAACGAAGGTGAGTCATATAGATGTTTAGGTCCCGATTTTTCTCAAAATTTGTGAGGGTTTGAAGGAATTAGCCTCAGTAATTTTAGTATATTGATCTTGGTATGTTTTCAGATATTTTTCATAAAAGAATCCAAAATCGAATCACGATGGTAGTAGGAGGTTTCTCGGACCTCTAAGAACAATAGGAACACGTTAACTTCAACGTTTGAGTGCGATTATTTTAGTCTATGAGTATCTAAAAATTATAAAAAAAAATATCATAGTGAGAGGGATTAAAGCTCTACAAATTTAGTGAAAGAGTTAATACGATTCGAGTTGTGTGCACGAAGATATAAAATTCCAAGGAAAATAGGTTAAAATAAATTTTATTGTTAAAATTTGGAAATTGCGCAGGGGGACGACTGCTGGAGGGACACACGTTGGCAAAAGGCATGGAAGACACTTTAGCGTCACACAGGGACACACATCATGAGAAGAGACGTAACGCGTTGCGACACCAATGACAATTGAGACTCGATCTACTTGCCTGACCTATGAACTGCGTTCGTGTCGGACGACCTGAATTAAACCACTTGCGACACGTGTTAGTGGAGGGAAAATCTGACAGATCTGTGCAACTTCAGGACTTGAACGCGTGCTTTTTGACCGAGGTCACCAATCATCTGGTGACACATGGCGGCACAGAGGCACAACTTCCCCTCCCCCGCTGCACTGACCATGTCATCATCTTCTTCCTCCCACAAGGGTTCGTCTTATCTTCACCGCCTAAAAATGACCTTCTCCAACCTATTGTCAGGCACTTCTCCCTTCGATTCCTTTATAAAACTTAAAGATGGAGAATCAAAGAAGAATTTGAGATTGGTTTCTTACCTATTCGTGGACTACAACTTAAATTATGAGTGTTCGAAATTGATAGAAAACTTAATATTTCGTTGGAGCAAACTTAGAGGATTTTGTTATTGGACAGTGCTATCTAGATATTCTTAGGTCACACTTCCTTTAATAAAAAGTTTTTTATATACTTCATTTAAGCTAGAGGAATGAATCTAAAGGGACGACTTGGCGTGGTTGAGGCAAATTTTGATGTCCCCTCTTCGATTTGAAACTCAACCCAAAACTCAAAATTTTCTTTTCTTGGGTAGCTTGATTCATGGCGAATTAGTCATTGACTCCTTCTTCAAATAAACTCAATTTTGTCGCACATTCTTGAGGTTAATTCAATTCACGATCTTCTACGAAAATGTTCCTTGGATGTGCAGAAACTGATTAGAATAGATCTCACTTGGTGAATATGCCTTTAGCCTCAGATTGGATTTCAAACTCCACTTCAAATTCCTTCGAAGGGAGACCAGAATGGGAGATTGAAACATCCATAATTGCCATAATTTCATCTTTGATCTTTCTAGATCTTCTGTCAATAAACTAGCTCTGATCAGAGCCTTGCCGACCTTGATTTTAAATTTTAACTGTTAGATGGGATGAACTTTGAGTGTTCTAGATTATGTCCAATTTTGGAGGAGATCCAACGATTGAATTGTGTGTAGAAGGGTACTGCGGAGATCTAGTTCTAGTCAACAGGAGCATTTTCGTAATTATCAGTATTTTTAGGGGCACGACTAGCCACACTTGAAACATGCTTCTTTCCACATCAAGTAGCCACCCTCATGCTTGTGACGTCGTTTTGGGGCATGCCACTTTACCGTCATCCTTCGTTGTCAATTGGGTCAATATCATTGGGATCTTAGAGAAATCCTAAATAACTCCCTGTAATAGCCAACTAGTCCCAAATAACTCTTTACTTCTGTGATGAGATCAACCTGAATCATCTCATATCTGCCTC